AAAAATATTATAAGCAAAATAAATTAATTCACTCTGCTGATTGTGCAGCCTACCCTTACATCTTCTGTAAACTCTGGAACTATGCTTGTATTCCCAAAATGTTAACCGGTTCTAAATCTAATTGAAATTGTGCCAATTATATTTTACTAGAGTATAAAATTTTGAAGCAAAAATTTTACAAGCAAATATTTTTGCGACAAAATATTTACAGATTTAGAATTAAGCACTAACCTACTTCACACTGTTTTCCCACAACATTTCTGCCAACAAAAAATTAGTAAAGTAAATGTGCAAAAAAAAGGTTTATTAGCTATTAGATTATTCGATTTATGGCTACCTTGTAGCAGTCGACCCTTTTGAGCAATGTGTGTCGATAAATTTTTGCAGCAAGCACTTTGCTAAATTGCCACATTTCCGCGCCAATACCATAGCATTTCTTGACACACGAGTTGATCTGAACATAAACAATGCACGATTATTTCAAATACCAAAAAAAATAAAAAAAAAAATTTAAAAAAAGCCACTGTGCAACTGTTAAAAAATCAAAGCTAAAACCGCAGGCGATGTAAACAKCAGACACATTGTAAAACAAACTGCCCATAAAAGAGTCATAAAAGCGCTAATGGCAACAATGCAAAAGCGCATGCGAAATGAAAACGCCATGAACACACAACAAAAAAATTAAAAAATCTAAAATAAAACAGTAGCGCATACAAAAAAAACAAAAATCACTTGTAAATGAAGCTTACGGCTTGCTCATTCCTACTGCTCTAGCTGCTGAACTCATAATGGTTTTTATCGTTTGTTTGCCTTTTACGACAAATACACGTACTACAGTTACCGTTAAGCTATAGTATTTATATTGGATACTTATTCATGCCCAAACCCAAATAAAATAAATRAAACCACCCAATTGCCGAGGAAGTGTTAGTGGAACAACCTTTTTTCAACAAAGTAAACCATACTTTTGTTCAGCTATCAATCATACCGTTAATCACTTAGTGGCCTGGCTTTTTTCGATAACCTCATAGCGCCTAATTAGCCGTAATTGCAGCAACTAGTGCAAGCACATAGGCATATTTCTCGCAATTAGCGCCTAGSGGAACTTTTTGCTTTGCTTCACCACATCGTGGAGGCCTACTTGTTTAAGGCCTACAGGTGGCATAAATTCACAGGCATTCTGTCTTCGTTTTAATCAAAGTTTAATAAGGCGTTTAAGCTGCACTGCACCGTTATGTGCACACAATTATTGCGATCTTATATAATTTTATTAGCTTTTATCGGTTATCGACGAGTGTCAAAATCAATTTCACCAAACGCCGCTCATGTGCACCACCATCGGCGGCTAGTGATGTCCATTGGGCGCGAACACTTTCGCTAACCGATTGCTYAAATTGGCGTTCCATTGCGGCTATGAAGTAATAAGTCGTTTTTCTTTCAACTTAATTTCGTTTATTAATGTCAAACACGTACGACAGATGGCTTTAAGCAGCGATTGATTGAAAGAAATGTTATTAAAATCGAAATGCAATACTGGCAATGATTGCTGTTTTGCGTAATGAGTTTTTGTTGTAACAAGCACACATGGGTTTCTATAAAATGTAAATGAACATACATTGTCAGCCTTTATTAGCTGTCTGCGGTCGCGCTCATGAACAAAGAATTAGCAAACAAGTCGATTCACACTTGAACTTCAAAGAATTCCACAATATACGGTAGTCGAAACACTCTTTTCGTATTTCTAATCAAACTTCAACTTACACACTACACTGTATGGTATAACACTGAAGATATACGACTGCAACGACATGGATATAGACAAAATACCCAATGTTTGCTATTTCACTAAGAAATAAAGAAAATAATTTAGTTTCGTAAAAAAATCATCGCAATTAATCTAGAAAAAAAATTTTTCACAAGTCTCAAGCCTTGAATCTTTGCCGAAAGACAAATCACTAATCAACTAAAAGCCTAGCTACGAAACTCAAATATTAAAATAAACTTTATAAATTGCACATTTTCAGATCTGTTTCGCCGCCCTGCTTGTGGCCACTGCCTACGCYGGCGACACCGCCAAGAAGGCTACCGTCGAGGCTAGCGCTGCTTCGGGCAAGAAAGTGCCACTCGAAAAGAAGCTGGACAAGCGCGGTCTGCTTGACCTCGGCTACGGCTATGGWCACTCCGGACTAGATGTTGGCTATATCGGCCACGGTAGTGTTGACTACGGACATGGTTATGGCCTTGTGGCTGCTCACTCCGCCCCCGCCGCCGTCTCTTATGGACATACCGGTCTTGCGTCCGCTGGCMTTGCGCACTCACCGTTCCTCATCAGCAAAACTGCCGATGTGCATAAGACCATCACCGTCACTAAGGGTATACCGGTGCCAGTAACTGTTGACCGACCTTACCCGGTTGTCCATCAGAAACAAGTGCCCGTCGAAGTTAAAGTACCCGTGCCACAGCCCTACGAAGTTATACGCAAAGTACCGGTTTCRGTAAAGGAGTACGTCAAGGTGCCCATACATGTGCCACAACCCTACACCGTTGAGAAGCGTGTCGAAGTTAAAGTACCCGTGCCCGTTGATCGCCCCTACCCAGTGAAGGTGCCAGTGCCACAGCCCTATGAAGTGATCAAGCATGTTCAAGTGCCCGTCAAAGTACCGGTACCACAGCCCTACGAAGTGGTCAAGCATGTTCAAGTGCCCTACAAGGTTCAAGTGCCAGTGCCACAGCCCTACGAAGTCATCAAACAAGTGCAAGTGCCCGTACATGTGCCAGTCGATCGTCCAGTACCAGTTGCTGTACCCAAGCCCTACCCAGTGCCCGTGGAGAAACCCTACCCAGTTGTGGTAGAGAAACAAGTMAARGTTGAGGTACCGGTACGCGTTGACAGACCCTACCCCGTGCCAGTTGACCGTCCCTACACCGTTAAAGTACCAGTCGACGTACCACAACCTTACACCGTCGAAAAACATATACCCTATACTGTGGRCCGTCCAGTACCAGTGCCCGTCAAGGTAGCCATCGACCGTCCCTACGCCGTGCATGTGACACGCCCGGTGCCAGTAGCTGTTCAGAAACCCGTTGCTGTACCCGTACCCGTGCCAGTCGTCGCCGGACACACGGTGGTCGAACATGGACCCGCCATTGCTATCAGCGGCGGAGGCTATGATGGTGGTTACGGTGGTGGTTACGGTGGTCATGGCTTCTCATCCAGCGGCTACGGCTACTCGTCCCTCGGACACGGTCATGGTTACGCACATAAAAAGAAGTAAGCCTGGCTGCGGAGCTACAGCTTCTACGATTACTGTGTATATGATTTCAGCATTGAAGGCGGAATTAATTGAATGAATTTTAGTGTTAATTATGAAATTATGAGGAGAAGGAAGTCGCTAGCAATAGGACTTCGAAAAATTTAGTAAGAAAGCAGAAGAACATTACGAGCAAAACGAAACCCGAAGTAATTGTAATGATTAAACAACGCAACAACAAATAAAAGCAGCATAAATACACAAAAGCGAAGACATTCACGAAGTGGCGATGCACGATGCACGAAATGAAGAACTCGAGCTGACACCAACTTAACTAGCATAATACGAATAGAACATACGTTTGCTTAATATTCATTTTTCGGCAACTGAAAATCGCTCATTGCTTACTACATACATATGTATATGTAAACCCTGCCACTTAGTTTTAAGTATTTACAAACACTTGTAAATTATTTAAAAGAGCAAAGAGAGCTGCTTGTCTAGGACAACACACAACTGACTGCTTACAGCGATAAATGGTTTAGTTGTGCCTTAGGTTGTCAGTGGACGCACCCAAAATTAAAAAATCATTGAATTGAAAAATAATGCGTTTTTTGTTGGGCCTGCAAAGGCCCTGACACAACCGCATTTTGTTCAAAATTTGCCAATTAGCCCTAGATCTATCATTATTACCACTTATGCCACTAACTTACATATATATATGTATATTAGCAACATTTAGTGTATTTCTCTCATCAAATGCAAAAMCGAGTAACAAAAAATTAAAAAACGGTTTTTTAATTTTATTGTCACTTGTAATTTTGCCGTAATCATCAGTTATTCCGAAATTCAGCAATATTTCGTTTCGCATCTGTAATGTACATCTCTTTCTCTCTCTCACTTTCTATCTTTATTTTGTATGTGTATAAATTAATTTTATATATGTACACTATGTATGTATTTTGTAAATGTGTAAATATGTGTTAAGACGAAATGATTTTTTGAATAATAAAAATTCGTAAGAAAAATAATTATAAATGTGTTAACACTTTTTTGCTTTGATGTAGAAATAGCCAAGTTCAGTTCAGTTAGCGGATGCAGGACGAAAAGCTGTTTACTTAAGTATTTATTATATTTATAGAAATATGACAAGTAAATAAATTTACAGACAGACTAGGAAGCTATGGGGACTGTCTCCTTAGGCCTAACTTCAYAATTTTCAAAATCAAAGTCGAAGTTTGATCATAATTGTATTCAAAATTAATTATGTGGGTGTAGCTTTAAATAAAATGACTTATAAATATTTACCTCAAAATTTCAAAAAAATTTGAAAAATTTCGTGAGAAAATAAAAATATTTATTTATTTTTTTATATTAGAATCGTAGGTACCCGAAWAGACTTCAAAAAATTAATGCTGTTTTAACGAAAAGAAAATGCTAAATAAATAAAATTTTACCTCTAAAATGTCAAAAAAAAAAATTAGTATTTTCTTATTTAAGGGTTTATATTTGTGTACAATTGCACGTCAGAAAAAAGTATTTCTTCGTTACTTTTTTATATTTTCATTATTTAATAAACAAATAAAAAAATGTACATAGTAGCTCTAAAGGCAATCTAATGAAGTGTAATTTGAAGCCGATCTCAAAAATGGCTGACAGTGAATAAGTATTTTCTGCTCAAATTTACCTCAAAAATAAAAAATAAATAAAATACTAGTTTTTTGAAGCGATTGATGGATGCCGGTAATGATCGCAGAGCTAGTAAATTTTTTAAATTTAGATAAAAAACGAAACAAGTCATTTTTTTTGTGGAAAACTTTAAGAACCAAAACTGTATTTCCTTCCTCGCTGACTTTGTAAACCGCCTTTAAGGTTTTGGGAGTCAATTAGTTTATTTTTTATTTTACAATTAAAATTAATAAGGAGAAATACTTAGAAGATATATGTTAAGAAATKCATTTGCTRCTACTGTTGTCTTACTAGGTCGGAAGGCTTCTTGCGTTKCAACYGGATTTCTCTCCCAACAGTTTCGAWGAGTCTGGAGGCTTCCTCATTAACATGCTGTCTTAGACTCAGTTCGTGAGAGTTTGCAATTTTGGAGATTTCATTTGCAACTGAGTTCGCGCCTAGATCACGGTGCAGGTCAGCAGATCTAACATACCAAGGGGCACTAACTAAAGTCCTTAGTGTCTCACTCTGAAAGCGCTGAATGCTGGCAATTCATCTTGACTTGAGCAACCCAATAGTTGGGCTCTGTAGGCCCAAACTGGTTTTAGAACTTAATTATATACTAACATTTTGTTTTGAATTGATAGAGTGGATTTCCTCTCAATAATTTAAATTTAATTAAGTTAAAATTAAGTTATGAATTCGATTTTGTCTAAGGAACTATCAGTTTGATCAATATTTCTTCAAATAATTTTTAATACATATATGTTCATTCGATATGTAAGCAAGATAATTGAGCTCCGCAAGTGGAAATAACTGCTACGAAGAAAATCTGTATAGAATAMATTACTAAATGTATTGTTGTGTTAGGAAAATAAAGGAAGTTTTGAACTTTCGCTGGTTTGGAGCCCAGTTGTCTATTTTTTTATTATGCCTTTAATTTAGCATATGATTTTTAGCTGCATTCTTTGCTTACTTTGTCTGGAGGAGACTCTAGGTTCAGTCCGGTTTTTATGTACTTGGCGATTTTCGTTTGTTAAAAATTGAGTGYTCGKAAATTCTCTGCCAAAAGCAATAATGCAACACTGCTCAGCCTCCATATTCACCAGATATTGCTCCGTGTGAATTGACTCGGCTTCAGGCTATATCTAAAATCGTGTTTGGGAAGTGATCAAATGTTAGAAGAAACGTTGACATAAGCTCATAATATCTAATGGAGACTATTTTGAAGGAGACAACAGGGACGTTTTAGGATAGAACTAAGCCACAAAATGCTGCGTAGTCGAAAAAGTCTCTTCGTATTTCTAATCAAATTTTAACTTTTTTTTATATTTATAATAATAAAAAAATAACCAAATATGTACCGTTTTGGTCGATCAATTTGTGTCATTTTGCCACTAGAGACATTATTCCTTCAATGTAAAAACTTTTTCAGTGTAATACGATATTTTGAAATTTYAATTGGAAACTAATACAGCGTCGTCTCCGTAAACTTCAAAAATTGCATTTTTGGCTTGCATGGCATTAATTTCAAAATATATCGAATTTCTTCATTAATTTCACTAGTTTTTAATTATAATAATAAATTAAAATTTAAAGGATTTGGTTTTTTTTTTAATGAAGTATAAAATCTACCGTTTCCAACACTATATGGTATGACACAATGTRATTGGTAGCACTGGAGACTGCAACGACATCTATTGATAAAATGCGAAAAAACGACTACCCACTAAAAACACACGTTGCACTAACTATTATCATTTTCCTCCTCTTCAACATGATGCAAAATTTGAGCAGGAAATCTCCCTCAAAATCATGTTTACGTACGCCGCTAGGCGACAACATTAAATGAGACAATTGAATAAATATTAAAAAAAATTGCGAAAACAATTTTTTATTTATCTTAATGGTATATCCAACGGTATCTTATTGCTAAAAGCTGCGCTTTTGCTTTTTTGTGAGCATTCCTAATTATTTCGACTGAGTTGTTTTTGTAAATTTGGTATGTGAAAATTCACATGTGGAAAATATACATGATCATTTTTATTTGGATGTAATGAGCTGGCAAAATTTAACGCAACATTACAATATTTTTGGTGTTAACTCAATGCTACATTACCAAAGCTTCGAAGGAATTAACWTAAATTCTAAACAAAAAAAAATTTAATTAAAAACGAAGCAAACATACAAACCTCAAGTGAGAAAATCTWGATATTTCCATGCAATCAAATTAAAATTACAGCCAATCTAATCCAAATACCAACAGACGCTCTGAATCTGACTCTAAATCACAATCGCTAAGTACAAAAACTACTTTCTAAATAAATACATAAAGTACCAATATTATTAGCTATACACACACACGCATACATGCRCAAAACAMGAATCAAACTACTTTTAGTTAAATTTGTAAGTATTTTTGAACTCAACTGTGCTGGCACTTTGAGAATTATAAGCGAGTGTTCTTGCCCGTTGACTCATAACTCGCTGGCAGCTGGCATAAGSCAGGCAGACCAGACCAAATTACATACACAAACACAAACACACACAGAAGTAATTACGCTTATTTGCTTACGATCGCACGCATATTGATTAAATTGGTATTGGAGCAAATATCGGGTGCAATTAAGAGTGCCATAGTGGTTCTAAGTCATCGTGGCCGCTCAAGGTCGTTTCCATTGCGCGCAGAACAACAAAAACGCTAACTAAAAAGCTGCTCCGCTTACCACTTGCCACATAGCTTTGGTGATGGCGGCGACTTCATGCTACATATGCGGATGTAATCGAATCTGAAGCGGTTATTAATAACTTTTGTTAAACACACCTGTCTCTTATACACATCTAGATGTGTATAGGTGATGGCGGCGACTTCATGCTACATATGCGGATGTAATCGAATCTGAAGCGGTTATTAATAACTTTTGTTAAACACAAATACAAAACAGACTGCCATACATGCGCACCACGCCATTTGCGTAGTTTGTAGGTGAAATGAATGTGTGTAATTAAAATATTATATACTGTTGTGTGACGAATAAAAATATATCGCAACAAAGACTAAAGCTTTAATCTTTTTCCTATTTATTGAACAGAGGAACACCAGGAGGCAGCTAGCAGCAGCTTAATGCTGGCAGTGCGATTTAATGTACCAGTGTTAGTGCGAGTATTGGCATGTGAGTGTGTGTGTTTATGTATCGCAAGCAGGTGGTCTTAAATATGTAAGAATTCTAATWAGCCACACTTTAATCGATGTGATTAATTACTTCTTGCAATAATTAGCCAGCCGATAAAATTAATCTCAACTTAAAAAATAACTGAACAAATTTGTTTACAATCAAAGTCATTTATCCGAGTAATAACTTATTTGAATTGAAGGCTGCTGAAAATATTGCCTGKCCCAAAGCTCTCAATAAAGACTACGAAACTGTAATTAATATAATAAAAAAAATCAATAAACGAACTGCCCAAACCAAATATGCATTTTGGGATTACAAATATATTAGGTGCGCAACTATGTGCTTGCTGTTTTTTAAAGAAAATGGTATATTATTGTAAAAGGRTTACAAATTAATTATTCGAAGTATTGCCCAGTGCCCACAACTTTTTTCTATCTTTCTGGCAAAGCTCGCATAGCATTACKGCAAAATTGTTCATCTTGAGATGTTATTCCAGAATCAAGCCATTTTTGATGTCGTCTTGTAAGTRTAACTGCTTCTGAGCCAAAAAGCAYATGGCATCRAACCRGATAGTGAATACYTTGGAAATATGGCGAAGGGGGTAGGATTTCCCATTTAARCGCTTTCATGTAGGTTTCAACGAGTTTGACAACGTGAAGCCRAGCATACTGCAGTATCACCTTTTARTTAAATCATTACCAGCGTATATGTATAGTCGTTTTGAAATGGCTTGACGAGTGATTGCCAGTAGTGAAGCAAGATCGTTTGCCACGAATACTAATCCAGGAACGTCTTCAATGCTCCGTCTTCGAAGGTTTTGGAACTTCCTTTGAGCGGASGGTCATTGATATTGAAATCGCTGTCTTTGAATCCACGAAGTCAATGTGCTTCAGCCACTAATTTCTTCGACTGAAAGA